GAAACTAGACTTTAGTGAGACAATCAGAGACCGCAGATGTACCGATATCCAAGAAGGAGCACCGTAGGGCTCTTTGGGCGAAACACTTTCAAGATCAGTTCAGCAGGCCCCCCTGCTTCCGGACCTCTTCCTACTCAGGTGATGCAGGATGAGCCATGACGGTTAGTTTAGAACAACCGCCGGATGCCGAGGTCCGAAACGCGAGCACAGCCCTCAATCGTTTTCGTGCCGCTGGCCCGGATTCACTCCAACCTGCACTATCTAAGAATAGTGAGGAGGTTCGCTGAAAAGTACTGATCTCCCTATTCGAACATATCTGGAAAAAAGTGTCCCGGCTGACTGGAGTGTATCGATTATAGTGGCAATATACAAGAAAGGCCGTCGCAGACTGTGCTAACCATAGGGGTATAAGCCTAACGCCAGTTGTGACAAAAGTACTGACCTCGATTCTCGTTCGTAGACTCACTGTGGAACAGAAATCTCGGATTAGGGAAGAGCAGGCGGGTTTCCGCCTTGGACGCGGCTGTATAGACCACATATTCACTTTGAGGCAGGTGCTAGAACAGCGCCACGCATAGCGCAGACCGACAATAGCTGTGTTGCTGGATTTCAAGAGTGCGTTCGATTCAGTCGATCGATGCATTCTGATCGGAATACTTGCGCAGTAAGGTGTCCCCACGTGTTACATATACACACGCTACAGGCCGCGTCAGGGTCTACGGTGACGTGACCACAAGTGGCCTTCGTCAGGGTTGTCCAATTTCCCAGTTTTTGTTCATTTTCGTCGTGGACTCCATCTAGTGTTCCCTTGTGGAGCATCATGATGCAGGCGTTGAGGTCCTCTCTGGTGAAAGCTTAGTTGATCTTGATTATATAGACGATGTCTTGCTTTCTGACGATATTGAGGCGCCCAGTCAAACCTGAGTAGCCTCTCTAGAATGGTCCCATTATTTGGTATGCGCTTCGCACCTTCAAAGTGCCAAGTGTTGATGAATGACCATCATCGACTTGATGATCTTATTACGCATGATAACGAGAAACTCGAACTGGTGGTTCGATTCCATTTCCTTGACAGCTGGATCAGCAAGGATGGGCACATAGAATAGTCGGAACTGCCTTCTTGTACCTGCATCATCGTTAGTGACAGAAGGGAGTTTCCCTCCGTTTGAAAGGCCATGTATACAAGACCACAGTGAGGGTCGTCCTGCTCGATGCGAGCGACTTGGCCCCTTCGATCTGATCATCGTTGCCTGTGAAACATTGCGGATGTCGGATGGCACTAGCCTGTCCGCAACGATGATGTGCGTTGGCGAGTACTAAGCAGTGACAATAGTGCTAGCTCAATAGAATAATACATAGCACTTAGTAAGTTGAGCTGGGCTGGGCACGTGCTACGTATGTCTGGTCATCACTTACCTCGGAGGACCTTGTTTTGTCTGCCAGGTGAAGGGCGGCCCACAGCGTGAAACGAAGTCACTGACGACCAAACTTGCTGGCCTCGGTCCGTCCGCCTTCCAGGTTGTGGTCCACATGACTCGCCATGTGCTTAGCTCAAGAGTTTACAGGACATGGCTCACCGTTGACAACAGTGGCGTGGCTGTTGCTGTCTCTCAGTTGGACTGCCTGTTTAACGTGTGTTTGGTGCCGTGTTATCTGCAGGGTAACGGCTGATTACGACGCGCGGCAGTGTAAGCCACAAGGAAGCTGTTTCGCCGAGGCCGCGCTATCCTTGCACCCTAGGCAGCTGTTTGTAACGGTATGTTAGTAACACAAGGTGTAGGCGCCCTAACACTGAATGTTTGCCTTGTGTATTAATGTTTTCAGTTAAGTCCCCATTCTTTACCTCTTATTATCCTTTATTCCTTAGGTCATGGTTGAATGGCAGCGAAGCATCAGTTCAAATGGCTGATGTACTGCTGCTGTTGATGATGATCTGAACACCCAAGTTGGAAAATTATCCACTGATGGACTGTATCTGGATGTGCAGACATCTCGTGAGTCCCAATAACACTAACAATGATCGTCTGAAGGAGATGACAGATACGTTCACCAACACATTCATTTGGTTGAAGAGAGTAAAATAATATCGTTAGTTAGCGCCGTCACTTCCTACTCACTGCAGGGATGATGCGAGTTGTAGAGGCAGTGTTTTACAAAGGACCACAACGGTCGCACGGAACACAGCACGATCTATGTTTGCCAAGCAGATAGGTGTCTAACAATTGCTTGAAACATTCTTCCTTTTGTGCACTGACGACTACCTCAGGTAGGTTGTTCTAAACATCACACGAGCTGACAAGGTAATTTTGGGGCGAAGTAGAAGCCTTCTATCTGATTCGCTGGATTTTGGTATCTTTGTTGGTAGATAGCCAGGTGTTTATTTGCAGACTAGGTGTCATTCACTTGATAACGCCGATCTGTTCGGTTTCGCCCAATACGCCCATGCGGCCGCTTAACAACCGCTCGAGTTGCACCCGACGTGTAGGGCCTCGTTACAAAGCTATCACTTGCTCAACGCGTTTGCGCCGAGTTCATGCTTGCTGTGACAGTGCGCTCGCATTCACAAACGACACTGCGATACATCTGCTTGGTTTGCTCCTCTCGCCAATGCGAAATCCGGTTGAGATATCCTTAGTGACTGCTCCTTCATGACATACCCTATGATGGGCTCGCTTATCTCGTCCCCTGCTAACCCGTCCTCCATACTGCGTAACAACTAGGAGCATACGCAGTCTCTCCGGTCAACACGAGTAGTCAAAGCGACCAAAAACACTGCCCACACAAGTGTACGTTTAGTTAAGGTGGAAGAACAGTCGCGGAACCTATGTTAAAAGTCAACGGCCTAACTAAATAACGACAACGACTCGTTCTTACAGATTGCCGACCTGTCCAGCACTCGTCAACGCCCAACGCTCCCTGCGGAGGCCCACTCACCTAGTACGCCTACTGCTGCTCCCCGTTTCTCTCCGAATAAACCGGCAACCAGTATCGCCGCCCCTAACTCTGTTATATGCACAAACGTTCTAGAGTATAGCGAACTGCAACCTCGGAATCAGGTTCTCAGGCCCCCAACGTGCGGAGCTCCATCTGTGATGTGCTAAACCTTCCCAATATTAAACCCGTCAATATCACTACTGTTGCAAGTGCTAGGACGTTGGCAATGCAAACCGGATGTTATTCCAGGACCGTGGACTTCGTTAATGATTAAACCGAAAGCTGAAGTGGAGACGCAGTAGTGCACTCAGGTATCTTAGATCACATTTGTAGTAAATCGTACCATTTGTCACCAATGAGTTACTGAAAGGACGTAAAAGATTGGAGCAGCAGAACTGCACTATTCCTACGCTCCGACGTTCCAAGCTCTTTCGTGCCCAATAGTATGACGGGCCGTAATAGGCCTTTAGAGCTGCAACACAAAAGAAATAACTCGTAGACCGCTGGACCCTGGTTGTACACATCTAGTTTCTGAACTCATTGGATGACAGAGAACAGAAGAAAGGTCGTTTGTCAGCTCTGTCTCTTCTCGATCATTGCGGGGATAGCCTAGGTCAGTGCGCAACAAAGTCCCACAGTGAATCACTGAAGGTGCATTGGAAACAGCTGTATCCCCGCAAACTAATATAAGAATCCAACAAATGCCTAAAAGGTTCCTCGGTCTCGGCATCAACGATGGACTCCAGAAGGCGGTTCCAGTCATTCACAAGGCGAGTGGATAAAGCCAGACTGGATCACACTCGATGATTCCGTGGTCCTTTGTCGAACTCTCTGTGTTGAGATGAAAGAATTCCTTTAATTCCCTCTCCAACTCTCCTCTAAGAATACGTCGGGTGAAGCTCAAATCTCCGCCATGACGACGGTAATCCAGGGAAAAGAGGTTCAGTTGTTTGAGTCGGAGAGAATAGGACAGGTCCCGCAGCTCAGAAACGGATCTGGATCCACGCCGTTGAACTTTTCCAATCATATCACATTCGAAATTCGTAAGAGGGTAGGTGGCAGGTAGCCCGCGTCTGAGAAGCGGGCGTACATGTGAAGTGAACAGGAGTCGGAAGAGCCCCTGGGTCAGGCGAGAGGCGCTACGTATAGAGTGAAACATCCTATAGGCCGCAACGACCTTTTTCTTTGTATCTTGATTAGACTTGTGGTCAGGCGAAATTATAACTCCCAGATCCCTCTCCTGAGTGGCGTTTTTAAGCAAGGAACTCCCAATATTGTAGGGTCCAAATGGGCCAGACGTACCAACTGGAAGTATCGAATATTTCTCACGATTCATTGGCAACTACCACTTAATTGACCAATCATGTAGATGTGAAGCCTCGATCGCAACCTGCCAGCATCTTCCACACTGAATACCTTCATCATCAGCTTCAGGTCGTCGGTGTAGATTATGCGATCCGTCTGGGGTGCGGACGCCAAGTCATTGATGAAAAAAAATTGAAAACCACGGGGCCGAGGACAGAACCCTGTGGGACTTCACTAGTCATGAGAACAGGGGCGGAAAATGTTTCGTTTACTTGCACCTGAATCGTGCGGTCGTGAAGGGAGTCAGAGATACAAGAGAGAAGATTCCCGGCGATACCGATTCCTAGGAATTTAAGCAAAAGTCGTTCGTGCGAGACCCAGTCGAAAGCTGTGCTGAACTCAACAAACACAACACCCAGGCGTTCATTGAAACCTAGCGACTTCGCTCGTTTCCCCTTAGTAACCAGTAAGTTCGAAGTACATGAGCGTGCCCTTCGAAAACCATGCTGTGAATAAGAGAAGACATTCAGTTCCTCGAGGTAGAGATGAAGAACCTGCTTCAAGATACGCTCCATAAATTTACACACTATCGATGTTAAGCAGATTGGACGATAGCTGGTTGGATCTTGCCTGTTCCCTCCTTTGTTTATGGGTTTGACATTGCCCACTTTCCAAGCCGACGGAAGACATATAGCTTTAAAGGAACGATAAAAAAAGTTGACAGGTAGGTGCGGCGATGTACTCCAGCACAGTCCTAAGGAACAGGGGGTGCAACCCATCAGGACCAGGTGAAGAATGCGGACCTAAATCCAGGAGAAGTTTAACCGCAGAATTGACGTTAATGGCTACTTGATTCAACAAATAAGGAAAACTGGACAGTGTTTTCGCAGGAGTTTCTCTCGCGAAGACGGAAGCGCACTGTTGGGCCGAGACTGGCTTTAGTAGCGTCTTCGTAAAATAAATTTCCATGCTCACAGAAACACAAGGTAGAGATGCCACTGTCGGCTCTGGTGATTCCTTTTAGATAAGAGAAAAGCATTTCGGTGTCATTCTGGAGTTTTCTGCTAATGATAGTTCATATCGTTGACGTTTCTGACGGAGCAAGGTGACACAAATATTCCTGATAGTCATGTAGGAAGGGTAATCGAACTCTGAGATTGTTTGGAACGATCTCACAATTTGCGCTTTCTGTTCATCAGGGATCTCAATTCACTGTCAATCCAAGATGGACCCCAGTTGAAAGATTTTTTACGGGAGAAAGGAACGATCTGCTCAGTTAGAGACGTCATTTTGGAGAGCACGCATCGTCAAGAGGAATGGGATCAGGAATACTCCAGTCCATAGTGCTTGCACCTGTTCTCAGACAGAGTGGATCCGCATGCCAAAAGTTCTGATGGTAACCACCCTGGCTATGGATCATGAGGCGACGTGCCCATTGGAATGGAACGACACAATGATCCCTTTTGCCGATGGATTGAAAAACTATTAAGTTCGTGACATCTAACTGGGGGGGTGAGCACAAGGTGAGGAATGTTCGGCGTCTGGTCGGCATGCTGACGTGCTTAAATAAATTAGAATCGATAACGGTCTAAAATAAGGTAGCAAGAAAGAAATCAGGTGGAGCACCAAAGTCCCAAACGATATAACGGGCATTAAGAACCCTCACGATAAGACTACCATTTCCTGAACCGTGTTTTCTGATCCAATCGAGCAATTGATTTTCGGATCCTGATGGCGCTCTGTAGATGATACCAATCGTGGAGGATCTGCATTCATCATGAATACGGCACCACGGAGCATCAAAATCACCATCGTCGTCAATAGCAGGTGCAACCAAATGGGTCATGTGTTCGGCCTCCCAGTAAAGAATGACGCCGCCACCGAGCCTGCCTCCAAGGCATCCGGCTCGACAGAGAGCAACAGATGAAAACCTCTGAACCTATGATGTCCGCAAAACACGTTTGGGTGAAGGCCAACAAGTCTGGGCTAGTATCTGAAGCAAGAATCTGTACCGTAGCAAGCTTATTTCTCAGACTAGGTATGCTGGCGAAAAGTATACGCAGTTTGTTCTCGTGCTCTACTGTCCTGGGTTGAGGAGAATTGGCCTCAAACGGGTTCTCGGGATTACGCTAAAATCCACGATGTGGAGGTCTGTCTTATTATTCCCTCAACGGGAGCGGAGCTCATCAACGGCTATTTTCATTTTAGTCCGATCTTCCGGAGAAATATATCTCAGGATATAAAAAGGCTCACCTTTCAAACGTGGGGTTCGCCGGAGGATGCGTCAGCATTCTTCTTCGCTTTGGCATACGATCTTGAGGGTTGCGCCTTAAAAAAATCCTCTTGCTTCCTGCCCAGGCAAAAGGTAGAGGTGTTTATCCCAAAAAATTCCCTTCAACGAATAAAATGGAAATCATCCGTTCAAGAAAACCTTGATTATCCAGTATCCTTTTTGCATATGTATCTTTGGTGGATTCTGGCGCGTTCACAATGATAAGACGTCGTTCACGAGAGGGTGGTAGAGCGCGACCAGAGATCTGCGGCTGTGGTGACGCACTGTCCTTGATCAACTTTTCCAAATTGTTGATTTTGTCGAGAACAGATTTCATTTGGGACTGGGAAGCAATTTTATTGGGCTTGGACTTAGACTTCGCCTGGGCATAAACATAGTTCGGCTCCGACTAATTAGGACAGTGGCAGTTTTTCTCACCATGGCTGATATCTCTTAGTCGTGGGCTCAATGGGTAAGGCGTGTGTCAAAGGCTCCGACTGAGAAGCAGATGGGACTCGGCTTCGTTTGCCCGTGGGGGTAGCTAAGTCGAAATTAGGTGTGGGCGGGAAGTGTGAGGAAACTAGAGAGTCCAAAGCAGTGGAAGCTTCAAACTTCATCGGAGTAAAATGAGGGCTCAGGAGTAGCAGACCGGCGTGAAGGTGTCGGCTGTTTAATATAGTACGGCAGCGGCTCCAGGAACCAGTGATAGCCGAAGTAGTGTATCGCTACAGAGACTCATATAGTTCAGGACAAATGTCGCAGCAGGTAATATGCATCAGAGCACTGTACGGCCTAGGAACGCGGTCACACCCTTACTGCAGCTCAGCCATTTGGACGCCATAACTATTTTCATTTATTCATTGATGTGTAGGGAGCAGGAGGGAGACCCTTTTCAGCTCCGTCGATGCCAATTCAGTAAAGGTTTCACGCAACTGGCTGGAAAGAGGCATTCCTCTGTGGACCGTCGCCGTTGCAGTAGGAGCAGCAGAGCCACGCCCTACTCATCAGTTGGCAGCAAAGCAGCCGTTTGAAACTTTTCCCTGTCGTGGCGTCAGAAATGATCGCCAGTAGACAGTTCTACCCATTCATTACACTACTTGATAGGGCAGCCTCTAGACGGACGTGTAGCATTCGGCTCTTGTACAACTTCTACTTGTGGCCTCGTGTCGAGTCGTCCACAATGAGCGGGAATTGCTTTTTCACCTCACTCCCAACTTCCCCGCTTAGGATCCGTCTGGTTAGATAAGATCTCCACGGCGCCGACGATAAGCCTTTGAGCATATGTTCAGCTTTCTGAGTCGACGTGTAAGCAAGATCTTGTAGCTCCATGACGGATTTCGAGCCACGCCTCTGAACACTTTCTAGTAAGTCGCATTCAGATTTTAAGATAGGATAGGTAGCTGGAAGCCCGTACTCCAATACCGGGCCGATATGTGATGTGAGCAGAGTCCTGAAAATTGCCGGTTTGATACGGGCAGCATTTTGTTTGCGGCTGCGACCTTTCTCAAAATGTCATGGCAAGTTTTAAGGTCATGTGACAAGAAAACCCACAGATCCTTCTCGTGCGGAACATTCTTAAGAAGTTATCCATCAATATGGTAGACACCGAATGAATCCGGGTTAACCATTGGAAGAACAGCACATTTGTCGTAGTTAACAGGTAGGTGTCATTTGACGGACCAACCGTGTAGCTGGTCCAGCGCCGTTTGGAATTGGCCCGCATCCTCAAGACTAACTACTGACCATAGCTTGAGGTCATTAGCCTAGACTAAGCAGTTGGCTTGTAGAGCTGCAGGGAGGTCAATAAGGTACAGCTTGAAATGCTCCGGCCCAATGACAGAGCCTTGTGGGACTCCGCTAGTCATAGACACACAGCCAGATAGCGTTGGGTCCATCTTCACTTGAAGAGTCCGATCTCTTAAGCTGTCTGCAACGTTTCCGGTGACGCCAATTCCCTGGATTTTGAGCCGAATTCGTTTGGGTGAGGTTTTGTCAGAGCCCTTGCTGAAATCAATGTAGATAACATCTAGGTGTCTGTGGTCGTCTATCGCTTCGACCTATGCTTCTCAAGCAACAAGCAGATTAGCTATGCAGGAGAGACCTGCGGAATCCGTGCTGAGCAGGAGAGATGGTGTACAGGCTTTCACAGTTGGTTTGGAAGGCGCGCTTGACGATCCATTCCACGAGCTTGTAGACCACAGACGTCAAGCATATCGGTCGATATTTTGCAGGATCGTGTCAATTTCCACCTTTTTACTTAGGCATTAGAAACCTTACTTTCCAGGCAGGTGGTAGGCGCCCGACTGCAAGAAAACGCCAAAAACTTAATGTATCGGATCAGCATTGTATTCTGCTACCAGCTTGAAGAATAACGGATGAATTCCATCAGGGCCCGGTGCGGAGTTAGGGTACAGTTCAAGAAGGAATCCCTTGATTATCTCGGGGTTGACTTCGACTTGCTCGAGAGGAGGGTAATGCGTTACCAAATGGTCAGTGGGTAGTGACGGTTTCACGGAGTAGATCGGGAGGTACCGCAAGGCTAGTAGTTAAGCCTTCTTGTCTTCTTCTAAGAGCACTGTCTTCTTCCTGGCAGGATAAAGCAGGGACACCACTGCCAGCCTTGGTGTTTCGTTTCAGGTACGACAATAGCTTCTTCGGGCAGGTTCGTGATTGCATGACGAGGCTATGTATGTATTGTTATCATTTCTGGCACTTACTTAGAGTGCACAGATTTCTGATCAGTTGTACTTCGAGTAGCCTGACGTTACCTGTGTTGAATTGAATATGTCCCATAGTTTGCGTCATATGTTCTTCAGGGACCTCACCCCTCGGTCGATCGAGGTGACCTTTGGGGAAAGGCCTGCTCTTGGTGATAGGAACAACTTCTGCGATGACCGACATCATCTTCGAGCATAGTAATTTCCATGCTTCATCAAGGCTCAT